AGAAATGTTAGCATATGGAAATTTGCAGTAGCTGCTAGAAAATGCTAAGGCAAAAGATAGAAAGATTTTAATACAATGGTAGTGTTATAAAGCAGGTGATGGAACAAATTAAGAGGGTGGGAGAATTCCACTGGTAAGAAATTTCTTCCACTAGTCCCTCGCTGCCATCAGCATCTTCAACTGCTGCTGCACCCTGTAATAGTTACTCTGCTAATGTAAATTTGTGTGTGCCTTGCTGTAGTAGCGACTTGTTACTGGATGAAGCAGGTGAAACTCTGCATTGACAACAAGGTGCAAGGACTGAGGCTGACAAAATGCCTGCTACCACAGTCAAGGGCAAGACTGGGTTGGCCTCTGTGTTTGCCACCAAGAAGAATCTTTAGCTCTGCTGTTGGCTGCAACCCAGCAGGCGTGGAGCAGTGGGGACACAAGCCATGCCAGACCTTGATGTGAGGGATGGCCTCCCCTGTTGTCAGAGAACCATACAGGAGAAAAAGGGGGCAGGCCCAGCAGCCTGTAGTTGGCATATGCTGGAGATGTGATCTAGCCCAAATCCCCTGCTCAAGTAGAGTCACCCAAAACATATATAAAACAAAAAGGGGGAGATGTGGAGACAGTGTTCTCACGGGAGAATGGATAATTGGTACATAAACTCTGAATAATCATGAAAGATACAGCAAGGCTGTGAGAGGCCCAAGGAAGCTTAAGCAAGCAAGATAAGAAGAAGCTAGAATTCACTGAGGTAATGAGAACTGTGGACTGTTGGCAAGCTTTCGAGGTCAAGTTCCCACACCTGTGCTTAACCAATTATATGCTAGCTGCAAAGGGTCTTCAAGACATGTATCCAATCATAATATGCCAAATCACTGGAAGTGCATGTAAGAAATAGTATTTAAGGGGTTAAGGCTTTGTAATAAACGGCTTTTGTCTCATCATATTGATCTCCGAGTCCATGTATTTTCTGCAGCAGAGCCCATGCAGAACTGCAAGCTCTCTACTCCAACAAAATAAAATTCCTTTAAGTAGGGCGGACGAAGAGCACTTCCTCAAGATTTCTCAAAAGCCCTCTTCTTTTATGACATAGATCCTTTCGGTTTTTAATACAGTCTCCAAATTGAATAACATTTGCCCTGTTTTGCTTATTTCCATATATACTCCAGTTATGGTGTCTTGATTTTTAGTGAAATTCAAAAGAATTTGTTTGTTGTGCTTGCTTGACAGTTTTCCATTTGTTTCTTTGGTGTAATTTTTTGTTTGTTTTTTTTTTTTAGACTTTTTTTATTTGCTGCATTCTGAAGTTAACCAGAAAACAAATACAACCACAAAGTGATTTAATGGATTTATGCCAAGTAACACAGGCAGAACAGAATGGATTACATGGCAATTAAGCATAAATAAATCCCATAAGCTGTTCCTGGTGCAGAAAAGATGTCATAAAAAAGAGGGGAAAAATAGATGTATTTTCAGGAGAACTAATGAATGTTTCAGCTCAATTACTCAACTTTTAGCATTCTCACTTCCAACTAAGCAAAAATGAGATATAACATATAGACCCACCCAGGCAATTATGCTCTTAAATATATTCTAGAAGGGTCACAGGGTACTTGGTTAGACCCATAATTGTACACTTGTCCTCAGTTAAATGTGATTATGTTGGTGGCTGATAAAAAATTAAATATTTCAATTGCTAAAAAGGTAGAACTCCATCTTAAAGCCAGTATCTTCTACCAGCTGTAACCCTTAGCATGGTCTGGTACATTTAGAACAATTGCTGTAAACCGGCATGTCACCAATATTAGAGCAGAAAAAGCCACAAGAGAGCCCCACGTGACAGGCATCCCAGAAGGAGAAGTACCAGTTTGCCCAATAGACAGGCTGAGTTTATGCAGCAGACAAATAATGAAACTGAACAAATAGCAATTACTGAAAAGTCAGTCATCTTACTGTCTAATTTTACACTCCAGGTACTTTATTCGTATTTGTTTCCTACAGAAGGCATGAGATCAGTTCACTGTCTTTACTGTCTCAAAGCACTGAGTGGGTGCCAAGTCACTCTAAATGTCAAAGCAAATCCTAAAGCCATCACCAGACAATGTTCCAGCAATAATCCAAATAAGATGATGCAGTTACCTTCTGTAGACACCTGCAATTTAGCAGGAAGAATAAAAAATTTTGTTACATAGTTATCACACAAGAAACTGCCTCTCTCCCCATATGCTCTCTTTAATAAGTGCTCTTAAATAAAAATGCTCACAACCAGCCCTGAAGTGGTTCTGTCACTCTAAAGGCAATTGGTACAACTATACAAACTCTCCTGTATCATACAGGTATGATGTTGTTCCTCAGCAACAAACCTGATACTTCGTGGAAAATTAAACTGTTGAACATTTTATCCGTCTAGCTGTGTTTGCAAAAAAAACCCACCCAAAACATTTCTTCTGGTACTATAACGCAGTGGTCAGCCGTGGACCTCATGGGAGGAGTTACTCCACACTAAAAACTGAATTAAACAGTAAGCAGGCTAGCAGATGTTTTGTGGACAGCTTGTTGGTTTGTTTTTTTGTGTTTTTTTTTTAAATACAAGGTAAGAGAAGTGAAATTCTGACATGGGTAGGACTGTTGAGAGAGTATCATTAGTAGCTTAAGAATTCAAGAGTGAAGATTACAACAAGAAAAAGTGTAAAATCCTAAAGAGAAAAAACGAGGCTAGCTGGGAGCTACCTGATAAGTGCCTTTAGCTCAGCCAGCTAGATTAGATGATTTGGGGATGAGAAGCATGTTTGATGCATTTACAAATACATTTTCAACAATATGCCCTCCTTCCAGAGCCTGAACAGATTCAGCTACAGATATTCTGTGAAAACATTCTAAACCAGAAAAGGCTTTGATCCCTATGCTGAAAAGAATCAGCACAGACAGCTATACTAGACTGCCTGGAAAGCTGTGCCAAAGACACAGACAAATACCAGAGTGGATCCATTCAGAAAAGTCAAGACAACAAAAGGGGTTAGAGTTGCACGTTACACCAAAAAGATTTACCTGTAACACAATTCTTAACTAAGTTTGGAATGTGAGATGTGTAAAGATCAAAGCCATGTGGATACTTATCATGACTAGTGGGTGAACACCCATACTGCATATTTAATTTCACTCTCAAAGCTCTGCAACAGCCCTTTTCCTAAGAAATGTAAGTTTTTTTTTAAAAAAAAAAAAATAGTCTAAGATGCAAAAATACCAACAATGTTCTGCATGTAATATCCTGGAGGTGAGGGTGGGGGAGAATAAGACCAAAAAACACAGAAAGAGATAACAAAAGAAAATCTACCTTCTGTGTTACACAAAAATAATCATGCTAACTCAAAAGAAAAGTCCATCAAACACAGTATTTTGATTTTCAGTAGTTTCCAACAGCAGATATGTGAGAAAAGAATACAGGCCAAACATGCTGTCATATTTCCTCCTGTTTCTGCCACTTTCTGGCTTACAGATGTCTTAAAAACTAGAGTTGACATCTTTAAGATCCACTAATGATTTTATCTTCTGTGAATTCAGGCAGGTTTTTTAATATATGCATTTAGCAGCTACAGTCTTACTGCAAGGATTTCTGCAGCTTTGATGCAATCCATAAAAAAAACCCACCCCTGCTTCATTTGAATTCAGCATCTGCATTTTTTTATTTAATGCCATCACTAGTACTGGAATACGAAACAAACATTCATTCTTAGTTATTGATCCTGTGTCAGTTGTGATTTTTGACTACTCTGACATTTTCCTTGCCCTTATCTTTACCTCTTCCAATTCAGCTTTATCTTTTTGGGGGGTGAGAGGAAATTTTATAGCCCCTCTTTTGGATCATTTCATTTGGGCATCACTAGCCAGGAAAAAAACAAACAAAAAAAAACACAAAAAAACCACCTTGGCATAAAAAAAAATAAAAACAAACCAACCAAAACCAAAACATAAAGCAATTATTGATTGGCTAACACACATAACAGATAGCTATAATTTAACAAGGTGTCAGGCTGAGCATTATTATGCTCACCCACCAAATGCTGCACTGAATAGTCTGGCCAAGCAGGCAGCCAATGGGCAGGGTCAGCCTTCAAGGTTCCCTAGAACAGAGCCTTGGTGATTTAGTCTGTCCTGACTTTAGTCTGGGGTTACTCATTAATGGAGTTTGAAAGTACCACTGCACTAAAGGGGTAAGTAAAATAAGTAAACATGCAAGTCAAACACAGCAAAGGGAAAAAGAAAAAGGCAAAGAGAAGTTGCATCAGCATAAACTGAAAATCAACTAGCTAGCTAACAGCTCTGCAGAAAAAGACCCAGGGATTCCAGGGGACAGCAAACTGATCATGTGTCAACAGCATAGTATTGTAGCAGTGAATTAACAAAAGCATAACTAGATGATCAAGCAAAGTTATAATTTCCCTCAACTTGGCCTTGACAAAGCTATACCTAGGATACAGTTTTTGGACACCCCTATACCACAGTCAAACTGGTGAGCCTGGCTAAGAAGCCCCGAGATGATTAGGGAACTGGAGTACATGACAGAAAGGGAACCAGACATTTTTGTTTGGTTTGTTTTAAAGTCTGGAGAAGACCAAGAGGTGATCTAACTGCAGTGTTTCACTACCTAAAGGGAAGTTACAGAGGAACTGGGATCAGACACACTAAAAGGACAAGAGACAACTTCCACCTGCACGTAAGAGAAGCATTATCCACCATGAGAAAGGTGCAGCACTGCAACAGGCTGCCTAGGCAGGTTGTGAAACCTGACCACCCTTGAAGACTGTCAAACACAACTCAGCAATACCCTGCTCAATCCAAGCTAACTAATCGAATTAGCCCTTTGAGAGGGTTGTTGGATTAAATAAGTCCAGATACCACTTGGGATCACAGGAAGTGGTATCTAAATGCCATCAGTCACAACTCTGACCTTATACTCAGAGGAATAATGTTGCTCAAGCCCTCTTGGAGAGTAAACAGGCTCCACTTACCTCTAACTGAAAAAAATTGTGGACCAGCACCACAATAGCCAGTACTGCCATAAGCAGGCAGAAGATCTGCAATCTGAATGAGTCACGCCACATTGTCCACTCATGCCTCTCCCTCCCATGTTAGGTGCTGCCATGACTTCCATTCACAGCAAACATGAATGTCATTTCGTCTCAGTAGTGCACAGGAGAATGCAGGTGACTTCTGCTTCATTCCTGCAAATGCATTTACAAAAATTATATTAAGCCCCAAAATATTAATAGAAGTTTGACACTGAAAGCATATAAATAGCAGAACTGTGCACAGCAACAATGGATACAATAAAACTGTTAAGACAGATTTTTGTGGCATTATTCTGAACAGTACTGTCTGGAGCGAAGAGGTAGCTGGTCTCTTCTCCCAGGTAACAGGAGAAGAGGTAATGGCCTCAAGCTGCATCAGGGGAGGTTTAGACTGGATATTAGGAAGTATTTCTTCACCAAAAGGGTGACCAGGAGTTGGAAAATCTTCCCAGGGAAGTGGTGGAATCCCCATCCCTGGAAGTGTTCAAAAACAATATAGAAGAGGCCCCTAGTGACATGGTTTAGTGGTGGTACTGGCAATACTGGGGTAACAGCTGGACTTGATGAACTTAAAGGTCTTTTCCAACCTAGTTGATTCTGTGATTATGTTACTTAATTCTCTTGGGCATGTCAAGGCAAAAACCTCATTATAAAGCCAGTTTCACCAAAAAAGCAAAAGAAGAGTGCAAGATTTCTTTCTGGCAACCAAAAAACCTAAAGAAACAACAACCACCCTGTTTACCTGTTAGGCCACACAACCACCATCAGCCATCACAAGACCAAGACTTGTGGGTTTGGACAATTTACCTGACTAGAGGTTCCAATAAGTTGTTCTTAAAGATTAAGGTCTGAAGCAAGTCTGGATAGACAAAAGATATTTTTCACCTATTAGTTAAACAAGAGTATCGGAGTTGAATGCATTAAAACTCAAAAATTTCTATAATATTAAACTACACCCTCCCTGTTGTTTGGTTTGGTTTGGTTTGTTGATTTGTTTGGGTTTTTTTAATCATCCCTTCTACATCATGTACTTCAATGTAGCTCTAATGGTAAAAAAGTAAACTTCTGTGAAAAACTCAAGGTGCTGGGGTTTGTTTCTTTTGTTTGTATTTTTTTTAATGCAATATAATAGTAGTCATACTTTCAATGAAATTTAACTTTCATGAAATATATTCCTTGAGGCTGACCAGTAGCTATCTATTATAAAATCACAGACTTAACTGCTGAAAAGGAGTTCTTGCAGCTTATTACTTGTTCAGTTTGACTCAGATCTTCCTTCTTTTCTAGACAAGACAATTCTGAGGCAGTCATTTTACAAATGGGTGCTGTTCTTGCAGAAGGAAAAGCTCTAAACTTGGAAGCAGACAACAGATGGCAAGAAGAAACAGTCAAAAGATATCAATCACTTCAAACCTAATATTAACAAAGCAGTGTTACTCATACAACCATCCACCAAGTGTAACAACATAGAATCACAAAATGATTAGGGTTGGAAAGGACCTTAAGATCATTGAGTATAAACAAATTATTAAATATTTTTTATAATTTTCTATAAGTAGTATAACCAAAAAGTTATACTATTTATTAAGACTATATGAAGAAAGTTGTGTAAAATTAAATTAAAAGTAATCATAGAATCATAGAGTGGTTAGGGTTGGAAAGGACCTTAAGATGATCAAGTTCCAACCCCTCTGCCATGGGCAGGGACATCTCACCAGGGCTCTGTCCAACCTGGCCTTGAAGTAATGATACATTAAATATCAAAATGTAATGATACATGTATCATCAATGTAATGATACATTAAATATCAAAATTAGCTAACAAAATCATTCATTATTTAATGAATTTGAATGAAAGATAGAAAACTGAAATATATTACTGGTATAACAAGGACAGTCTCAAAGTAGATCCCACATCAAATTGCTTTACAGGGATTATAGGGATTATAATTTCAAATACTTTGCTGAGAATTAGAGATTGTATTTCTGACTGATGAACAAGTTTTGAAAGAGCAAGACATCCATTAAAGTAAAAGCATCAAACTGATAAAATGCAACAAACTTTCATTGTAGAAACAGCTCTGTGCTAATATAAAGTATTAAATTTGCAAATACACTAGAGAAAAATTAGATTTCCAATTTGCTATGAAAAGCACAATGTAAGAAGTTTGGGGGGAAGGGAGGCTCTCTGTGGCTGTCGTTATGTGAAACAATACTCCTTTTGACTCTGTAACTGTTGTACTCTGTAGGTAATGGGGGGAGGTCAGTTGTATTGTTGCGCGGGATTGTGAGAGAGAAAAGGGGGCTGGGTGGCTCGAAGTGGTGTCTTGTTGCAACGCTTGAGGGGAGGGGGCTGCGACGGTGAGGAGGCTGGCAGTGGACGCTTCTCGAAGCCTCTGGCAGCTTCTCGAAACTTCCCGAAACTTCTCAGTAATGAGACCCCTGCAACAAAGGGAACCAATGGGGAAGAGCCATGTCAACATCCGAGTGAGGAGGGGCGACAGGATTGGCCGGGGCCTTGAACCGGAGAAGATAAAAGGACCGCCTCCCAGGGACCGCGTGTGCGCGTCTTGGGCGGAGCGGAGGGCTCCCCGGCGCACCCAGCGCTGTTTTATCTGCTATCGCTTACTCAGTTTAATAAAATTTATACTTTAAACCAAAATTGGCTAGAATATTGATAACAAATTGGTGCCGTGACTCGGATGGAGAAATTCTGACAGGACTCACATTCTAGGGGGGGGCGCCCCACTCTCAGGAGTGGCCCCCTGTTTGTGGTTCATTCTGCCAGCTTCTCCACCGACAAACCCAAAATTCGATAGCAGATAAAAGATGAAGCCGGCAACCCCTTAATTTTGTGCACGAAGCCGAACGAAGAGGACAGAAACGACGTGAGTATATTGCGAAACTGAGATCCGTTCGGTTGGGGTTGGGATCCCGGTGTGTGCATGAGTGAGACGTCCAAGTGTGGACGAAGTGAGTGTGGACCTCTTAGTAGTGCGGTTCCCATCTCCCGCGAGGGACTGGGCCACGAGGAGAGGGCATACGAAAGACTGAGTGAAACAAGGCACACCGGAAGATGGGACAGAAAAAGAGTAAGGTTCTGATCCCATGGGAGGTTCTAAGGAGAGATTAAAGTTACCTTAGATACCTCCAGATAGTCCTTTAGGTTTAATGGTTAAGTATTGGAATGATTATCCCTCTAGAAGAGGGAAAGACAGGACAAAAATGATACATTATTGTATGGAAGTATGGGGGGGTAAACAGATTAGGACTGATCACCTACATTGGCCAGTATATGGGTCTTTTGAAAATCGAATATGTCAGGCCCTGAATATCTATGTCAATTTGAAAGAGCCTTTTGATTTGGAAGAAAGTGAATATGCCCAATTGTGGATAGGATCAGAGACTAGAGCCAATCTATACCCTTTAAAAGAAAAAGGGAGACGAAAAAAGACTAGGCCAGAGGAGGAGGTTCCCATATCGCCCCCACCATATATACCTCCTCCTCCTCCACCTCAGCCTTCGCCCCCACCCGAGACTCCCTCTAACGTTCCAAGTGCTCCGTGTGAGGACCCGGAGGCACCCCCCAATACTTTTGAGACCGAGGGACCGGTCACACGAAGTAAAAGCAAGAAACAAACTGACCCCGCTGTACCCTTTAAGGGAAATATCAATGGGAGGGGCACACCCAGAAATGGGATGTTTTTCAATACCCTTGAATTCAGCAGATGCTAGGGAATTTAAGAAAGAAATGGGGACTTTGCTGGAAGATCCCTTGGGGGTTGCAGAGAGAGTGGATCAATTCCTAGGGCCTAATATATATACCTGGGAGGAGTTGCAGGCGATACTGGGATTTTGTTTACAGCTGAGGAGAGGGATATGATCAGGAGAGCCGGTATGAGAATATGGGACCAACAACACCAACAGGGTCCCGCAGCTGATATAAAATGGCCTCTACAGAGACCTAATTGGAATAACCAAAATGAAATACACAGGGGTCATATGCAAGTTCTGAGGACTATAATAATCCAAGGTATAAGAGACTCGGTCCCCAGAGGCCAGTATATCAATAAGACTTTTAGCGAACATCAGAAAAAGGATGAAACTCCCACAGAATGGCTGGAGCGTTTGCAAAAGAGTTTCCAGCTATAGTCAGGAGTAGACCCTGACATGCCGGTTGGGCAAGCATTAATTAAGGCCCAATTTGTAGCTAGTTCATGGATCGACATTAGGAGAAAATTGGAAAAGTTAGATGATTGGCAGTTTGATTAGAAAAGATCTTAAGAACATTTAAGCAACTGGGTGAGGAGTGACACTTGCAAAGGATATTGCTAATGATTTACTGTGATCAAAATTTATGGCTGTGAATGGACTGTAAAGTTCCTTACCTCTGTTTTCATTGGCACACAGCTGCCAGCATTTCAGTTTTGGTGTATTCAGTACCTGCTTGTATGCTCTTCTGTCCAAGCAGACTCTTGCAGGATTAAACTATACACACAGATGCAAATGCTAACAGCAGTGTTGTATCTTACGCTGATCGCTACCCTTTTGCATGATCTTGTTATTCAAAGGTTTCTGTTGATCTCCTGTAGTATTAGGAAGACTTTTTCCTCCCAGTCCAAAGATAACTCTAAACTGAAGAGTAATGTTAAATAAAAGGGGCTGTTGTCTTCTACTGATCAGAAAGTCTTAGTTCCTGTCTGATCACATGTTTAAAATTTGATTATGCATGGTTTTGGAGTAAGCAGCCTTTCAGATAAATTTAGCAGAAAGCAGTAGATCAGATTTTCCTACTGGGATCATCTGAAGATAATCCTCACAGGCTCTGTGATCCATGTTGTACCATTGAAGAAGCTTGGGACAGTTTGATGTGTCTTATTCTAGTGACAGTAATGCTTAATTCAATTTAAATTTGCAAGGTGGCTGTTGCAGCAGACAATCTGATGATCCCTTCTGATCTGAAATGTAATGAAAACTGCAGCAAATTTTTTTTTTAAATGTCCTTGTGGGAAAGATGATGGAGAGGAAAGCAAACAACATGGGTAGGTGAATGTTCATGGAAATAGCTTGTCATCTTTTAATCCACTCAGTTGTTTGAGAGCTACATGTTTGGTATAAGGGCATGCTCTAATCCACAAGAAAATA